AATACCACATCACACCTACCCATTAGTTTAAATGAAACATTGATTGGCCATTATTAATACCCAATTTTTTTCAAAATAAAGCAATATTTCCATTTACTCTCCCTCTTTCTCTTCCTCTTTCTTCCTCTCCTTTACTTATTTATTTTTTTTTCTTTCCTTCTCTCAAAAAAAAAGAAGTCAACTTGTAAACCTCTAGATCCAGGTCGGCAATGTCTCTTTCATTGCTTGATTTCCTTTCTTCCCTTCCCTCCCTCCCTCCCTCCCTCCCTCCCTCCCTCCCTCCCTCCCCGCTTCCTCCCTTCCTTCCTTCCTTCATCCCTTCCTTCCTCCCTACCGTCCTTCTTCCCTTCCTTCCTGCCTTCCTCCCCCCCCAAAAAAAAAAAAAAAAAAAAAAGATTCAACATGAGATTTAGAGAGGACACACATCCAAACTATATCAGCAATATCAAAGAAGGGGCAGAATTCACAGAGACCTGAACAGTCTCCTAGAAATGGCCCAGCTAAGTTTATGGTGCAGGCTGGGGCCCCTTAGGAGGAAGGCACCTTCAATAGCCCATGTTTGAGAGAATTGAGTGTGTGTTTATCCGTGGTTGTGGGCGGCACACAGCCTGACAGTCCTATCACCATTGTAGCTACCAGCAGCAGGCAGTCTGCAACACTGACACGTGTAGAATCTGTAGTGCATCCAATGCACCTAGTTATATCATATTAGATACTTATTGTGGTTTTTTGAGCACTTTGCTAAACATATTCATGCATTCATTAATTCTCAAACAGCCTTAATATGCATCTATTAATATCTCTACCACTTAATAGATGAGGACACCAAAATGAGTTTCAGAGAGAAAATCTTGGTCAGACTGATTGAGAGCCCCAGAGCAAAGACTGCCTGCCAGAAGAGTCCTACTTTGGGTAGGAGTGGTGGCTCCAGCACCCCCATGCCCTGCCCTTGGCTAGAAGCAGCCTGGGAACAGCATGACCCCATGGAGGACCTGAAGGGCATGATGCTGCTGCTTGCAGCACAGGTTTCTGTTTTGGAGGGATCCCTGGGCAGCTCACTCTCATGGCAGCCACAGGTGCCAGCCTTGACCGGCTCATAGCCTATTTACTAATCTACTGTAGGGTTTTGGCAGGAAGTCATGAAAACTCAAATGTGGAATATCCAGCACAGTCTCCTCGGAGATAAAGGGTTTCCTGATCAGCTGAGCAGGTTGCACACTGAATAGGGGGACCTGAGAGGTGGGGCTAGTTGGAGAGAACTAGTCCTTTCACTATAGAGTGCCTGAAAAGTAAACACTGCCCATGCAAGAGGGAGTGTTTGAGGATTGATGTGCAGGCATCGCCTTTCCCAGTCAAGCTGTAGGCTTTGTGGTTTTGGCCTAGAGAGGCGTATTTTTCTAATTCAGCTACTCAGAAGGTCATCTTTTCCTAATTTGCACAAAGGTAGAGTGTGTAGGCTGCCCATAGCCCATGACTCTGGGGAGAGAAGAGAATGGGCTTTCAAGGAGGAGTCAGGGTCAGCAGGAGTGAAAGGGGCTGGGATGTGGCTTCAGTCCAAAGTCAGCTTGTGGGAGAACAGCTGGTACTGAACAGTGTGATAAGCCCAGAGGGGTAGGTCGGGGCAGGGCATGGAGCCTGCTATCTGCTGTGCCTGAGTCTGGGCTCTGCTGGAAGTCAGGGGAAGCTGCTCAAGGGTTTCAGGTGGGTGAGACACATGACATATTGTCATTTTGATGTTACTGGTCATTTTGGCACGTTAAAAAGTCAAGCCCCCAAAATGTGTTAGCAAGTGTTGCAGGAAAGAGACCCCTTGCACATTCTCTTAAAGCATTAAAATACTTTAAAATAGAAGTACCCCATAATCCCAGCAACCCTGTTATTGGATTTATCCAAAGGGTATGAAATCAGTATGTCAAAGAGATATCTATACTTCCATGTTGATCGTAGCATTAGTCACAATAGCCAAGATAGGGAATCAACCTAAGTGTGTGTGTATTTATATATTTATTTATTTATTTTTGAAATAGGGCTTTGCTCTGTTGTCAGGCTAGAGTGTAGTGGCGTGATCATAGCTCGCCGCAGCCTTGAATTCCTGGGCTCATGTGATTGTCTCACCTCAGCCTCCTGAGTAGCTGGGACCACAGGCATGTGCCACCATGTCCAGCTAATATTTTAAATTTTTGTAGAGACAGGGTCTTGCTATGTTGCCCAGGCTGGTTTTGAACTCCTGGGCTCAAGCAATCCTCCCACCTCAGCGTCCTAGCATGCTGGTATTACAGTCATGAGGCATCACACGCAGGCCCAATCCAAGTGTCTATTAACAGTTGAATGGATAGAGAAATATGGTATATCTACATGATGGAATACTATTTGGTCTTTAAACAGAATGAAATCCTGTCATTTGTGACAACATGGATGAACCCAGAGGACATTATGCTAAGTGAAGTAAGTCAGGCACAGAAAGACAAAAAATACCTCATGACCTCACTTATATGTGGAATCTAAAAACATTGAACTTATAGAAGCAGAAAGTGGAACGGTGGTTACCAGGGGCTGGGAGAGGCAGGCACTGGGGAGATGTTGGTCAAAGGACATAAAATTTCCTTTAGATGGGAGGAGTAAGTTCAAGAGATCTGTTGTACAGCATGGTAACTATAATTAACAGTATACTGTATACTTGGAGGTTGCCAAGGAGTTTTTGTTTGATTGTTTGAGAAAGGATCTTGCTCTGTCACCAGGCTGGAGTGCAGTGGTATGATCACAGATCACTGCAGCCTTGACTCCTGGGCGCAAATGGTCCTCTTGCCTCAGCCTCCCAAGTAGGTGTGCATCATCATGCCCAAGTAATTAAACATTTTTTTTTGTGGAGATGGGGGCCTCACTGTGTTGCCCAGGCTGGTCTTGAACTACTGGGCTCAAATGATCCTCCCACTTCAGTTTCCCAAAGTGCTGGGCTTACAGGTGTGAGCTACTGTACCCAGTCAAGAGGGTAGACTTTAAGTGTTCTCACCACTAACAAATAAGTATGTGAGACAATGCATATGTTAATCTTAAGTGGATTGATTTAGCCATCCCACAATGCATACATGTATCAAAATGTCATGTACACCATAAATATATACAATTTTTATTTATCAAAGAAAGAGTAATAAATGTTACAATAAAGATACTTGCCTAAGAGAAAAAAAAATTGAATCTTATTTGATGTGACTGTTAGTCTCCCACCCTAGTAACACTCCCCTCCTCTCCAACCCTAGACCTGCCTGTGCTTCAGCTTGTGGTACCTGGAGTAGGGATGAGGGTGACATCTTCTGGTCCTTCTTCCTCCCAGGCCCTGGCCCTCTCTGGTTCCCCTTACTTATCTCCCTGCTGCGGCCTCCTTTACAGCCCATGTGTTCTGGTGTTGGGGAAGGGAGGCAGGTGAGGGACAGTGCCGAGTTTTGAGGCATCCTGGACTTTCCCTTTTGGTCCTTTTCTGGCTGTCCCTGCTTTTCTGCATCAAGCCCCCAAGGCTTCTAGGGGGGCAGCACCAGGGTGCATCCTCCCTCTTGCATGGGGCAGTGTTATTTTTCAGGTGCCCTGTGGCAAAATGACTCCTCACTTCCTTCCTTGTCTTACTTTTCCTCCTTTTCTGCTTCTAGAGTTTGACTGGGGAGGGGTAGCTGGCTTGGATGCCTCTTGCTGTTGAGTCCTGGGCAAGGAGGAAATAGATGGCCCCTGATTGTGCCAACTGTCTTTAAAATGTGGAGCATTTGGCAGTGTGGTTGTCTCTGTGTCCTCTGCCTTGGGCACAAGGGAAGTCTGGAGTGTGCCCTGTGAGGCAGGAGAGTGATGGGAGAGGAGGCTGACTGCAGCTTACTCGGGAGTGGCATCGGGGACTGGGGAGAAGTCACAGCTGTGCAGAGCCTCTCAGGGTCATGGAGATGGGCATCCCGGCCCCTCTGTCCCTCTGCCTATCACTGACAGTGTGGAAAGGGTAAGTCCATGGGTGAGCAAAGGGACAATGTGTTGCAATTCACCTCTCCTCCGAAATAACAGAGGATAACAGGATCCAGCATCTCCACAGCTATTCTCCGTGTATGAAATGAGTTTGAATCCTTTATTCAACTTGAAAACCTTTAAAGTATTTGGGTTATGATCATCTAAATGTCAAAGGACATTGGAGACATTGAGGGCTTGGCTGAAACTTCTGTAGTCAGGTCGGCAGAGGTTGGGGGTGGGGGTAATCCAGGTCTTCTGGCTTCCCCTCCTCTTCCCACCTCCCTGCCTCTGGAACCTGCTTTGCCAAACACATCACCTCTCCTGTATCACCCAGATGAGAGCAGTTCCCTGAGAGCATTTCAGGGGATTGCTACCAGCATATCAAAAACTCCAAGGCCAGACCAGACTTCCAAATTGTGATGAAACCATGTTGTATAGGACTGCAAGTCCTGAAAAAGTTTTGATCTTTGAGTGGAAGTGAAGCTCAATTCTGTGTACCTATTAAGAAACTTTTTGCCTGGTGTCCACATGAATGTGGAAGAAGTCTTTTTAGTTTTTAAGGGAAAACCCTGTTTTTAGGTGCTAATTTATCACACCAGAGAGATAAGTGAGGCAGTCATCAGCAGCCATTCTGGAGTAGTCTTTCAAGCAGGCCTCTTAAGGCTTTTCACAAGCCTGTTGACGTGTATTTATAATCAATAGATGCTATAATCACAGCTTATTATTAATGCCTTGCTTACCCAATTAATCTAAATCAGCGTGGCTCAATGTGGAGGAAAGCATGCTCAACCCAGGTCCTAGTAGAAACTCTGCCCCCAGGCTCATGGTGGTGGTGCTGGGCCAAGATGTCCTCTCTGTGGCAGGAAGCATGTGCTTGGCCAGCCCCTGGGGCTCTTTCCTTCCTGGCATCCTGGACCATGTGGATGGCATGTGCACTGAGCCACAGGGTAAGAGGCAAGGAGGAATGGAGGATTGTGGGGAGGCTGTTGCAGAACCTGCTTTTTTTTTTTTTAAATCAGGAATCATTAGCCGAGAAGATGCGGAAGATCTCCTGGAGAACATGACTGAGGGAGCATTCCTGGTCCGGGTCAGTGAGAAAATCTGGGGTTACACCCTCTCCTATCGCCTGCAGAAAGGGTTCAAGCACTTTCTTGTGGATGCCTCTGGGGATTTTTACAGCTTTCTGGGAGTGGACCCCAATCGCCATGCAACGCTCACGGATCTCGTTGATTTCCATAAGGTATCCCTCATAGGATTCTAATCGGGGGGTAAAACTGGTGGAAACTTGAAGAGAGACCTAGAGCAAGGGAAGCAACCTGCTGGCTCTGGGCAGTGGGGCTGGAGGGTCTCAGAGATGTAGAGCATCAGGGCAGAAGAGACCAGAGGTTGTCCACACCGGGCCCTGGGGCCCACTGTTCAGTTCTCTGCTTCACTATTGGGCACGTGGGTACCTTTCACCCTGGTCCTCAAGGCTCTTCTCACCTTGGGTTCCTGAGTGCTCCCTCCTGTTAACACAGAACTGGATGATCATCCCCTTCTCCAAGCCTGGGTCTCATCTCCAACTAATTCCCAAGAACGTCTTTCATGAGGACCTCTGAGGCCCTTGGCAGCTTCTGAGACTTAGCGGAAGTGCAGCAGGCAACCCTGTGATTAGAGAAGTTTTTCTAGTGGTGGAGTTACCATGTCTCTTATTGGAACTCCAGCTTTACCACTTGGTATGTGTGTAACCTTGAGCCAGTAGCTTGGTCTCAACAAGCATCAGCATCCAAGCCAGGCACATGGAGGTAAGTAATACTTAGCTTGGACCCTGTGAGCATTAAATGAAGTCAAGTACACAGCAGTGCTCTGTGGCTGTGAAGTGCTTATGGAGGATCTTGTTTCTCGGCATTCTTTTTGTTATTTGTCCTCCTACCAGGGATTCTATATTGGGAAAGACGTTGTCTTCCAAATAGGGTATGTAGTAAGAAGCAACGTTTATGTTCGTGTGGCAATTGGCATCACTAGTAACTGGGAGAAAGCCAGAGGTAGAACTCAGTGACCCGAAAGGGCAGGACAAAGGATTCCGAGAGGCAGAGTGGTAGTAGCTCAGGTGTCCAGCATCTAACCAAAAGCTTTGCATGTGCAGATAGTTTCACAGAATGACCTGATGGCCTCACTGGGCTTTTGCTATAGGGACTCATAGGTTTGTATTGCTTTCTCTTCATCTCTTCATGGAGTTCTCCCGAACTTCAGGGACAGCCCTTGAGCTTTTGAGTAATACACATGGAGAATCATCCATTCAGAGATACCCCAGCACTGAGTGTGGAGCACTGCCTGGAAACTGGATTAATCAGGATCAAGGTCAATTGCCACGTGTTGGGAAGAGCCTTCTAACAGAGGAAAGAGAAAGGGAGGGAATGTGAGGGTATTGGCATGTTCTTTGTGTCAGGCCCTGAACCTACTGTTCTCCATCCATGCTCTTACTTAATCTTCCCAATAGATCTGTGAGGGAGGCATCTTAGCTCCATTCCGCTGATTAGGAAACCAGGGCTAAGTTTTCTAGTTAGGACCAGGAGTTAAGCCTCAGGCTGTTTGCCTCTAAAATGTACTTTTCCCACTAAGCCACATTTGCTTTTCCTCTATAATAGCAGCTGTTTTATCAGTGATGAGCTCCTTGTCCCTGAAAGTGTTTCAGGCAAAGGAGAAAGGCCCCTCCCTCAGGAAAGGTTCCGGAGAAAGGCTAGACCAGAGATCTCTGAATGTCTTTGTTCTCTTCCAAATGGAAACATTTGAGACAATTTCATTTCTAACACTAAGGAGAGAGATCATTTATGCCCATGTGGAGATCTGGTGGCCAACTTCTATAAATTAAAATTTTAATTATACAATTCATGATTACATTCTAAGAAAAATCAAATGCAATTTGATTTTTTCAAATCTCCATTCCCATCCTCCACTTTGATTATCAATTTGTCATGTATCTACCTAAGTATCTCCTGATTAGTAACATAAAAACTTATGTACGTAAGGAAATGTATAGTTTTGTTGTTTTTCATATTAGTTGCATAGTTTTTGTTGAGACAAGGTCTTACTCTGCTGCCTAGGCTGGAGTGCAGTGATACGATCATAGCTCACTGTAACCTCAAGATCCTGGGCTCAAGTGATCCTCCCACCTCAGCTTCCCTAGTAGCTGGGGCCACAGGCATGCACACCACATCCAGCCCAAGTTGAATAGTTCCTTACGTATAAATGAGTGACTTGATTTTTTAACATGCTTACTAAATCATTGAATGCAGTTTTAAAAAGCATGATCCCTAGAATGAGGCTGCTGAGTTGTAAACCCTAACTTACTGTGTTTGACTTCCGACGATTGCTCAACTTTTGTGCCTTAGTTTCCGCCTTAGTAAAGTGGGTTTAATATTTAATAGTAGCACTCAACTCTTCGGGTCACTGTAAGGTTTTAATGAAACATTACTGTGTAAAGTGTTGAAACAATATACCTGATACTTGTAATTTCAGGACATGCTGGCTGGCATTAAAATGTAGCTATGAGCTCTTCCTATGTCAATTCGTATACCAAACCTTGTAAATGCCATGTGATATTCCATGGTATGGATGCATATTACAGTATAATTACCCATTCTCCTTTTGATGGCCGCTTATCTGGCTTCTGATTTTTCATGATGTTGAACAGTGCGGCAGAGACTTCCCTGTGTGTGTCACTATGGATACATGTGCAGTATTTCTCTAGGATGGTGTTGGAACTGGAACTGCTGGAGAGAAGAGTATGCACATTTTAATTAGAAAAGATCTGCCAGATTGCCCTCCAAAAATGTGGCGCCAGTTCAGTCTCCTGCCAAAACTATATGAGGCTGTTTCCCCACACTGCTGCCAACACTGGGGCCTATCAATCATTTCATTTTTCTTCATCAGATGGGCAGACATTGAATCTTCTGTGGTTTAGTTTGCATTTGTCTGATTACCACTGATGCTGAGGATCTTTTCACATGTTTCATGGCCACTTGGATTTCTTCTGTGAGTCGTCCTTTATATCCTTTGTCCATTTTTATATTAGGCGGTCTCTTTTTTATTGATGTGATGTTTCTTTCAACTGCTGAATTGCTCTTTAGTTATGAGCATTCTGCTCTTCAGTTCTTCGACTTAAATTTTTTCCTTTTAATTTAAATGGTCATGCTTTTGGTTTCTAGGTTCTTTAATTGGTTCTTCTTCTTCTCTCTCTCTTTTTTTTTAAATAATGCCCATTCTCGTTTCATAGATGACTTATTTCTTATTCTGCTGAGGAGAGATTAATGCACATCTCTAAAAGCCTCTTCTGTTTGCTTTATAGACTTGATATTTTCCTGGAAATCATTTCTGTTGTTGAGTTTGGCATCTTTATTTTATGGTTATATTTTTCCTTAAATGCCTATAAATTTTAGGCTACGAAGTGGTCTTCCAACTTTAAATTTTCTGTCTATCAAGAGTGGATACAGTTTTGTTTCCCAAGTCCAGTGTCTTCATGCTGTAGGAGTTGGAGTTGACTGTGAGTGCCCCATCTTTTGGGCATAGGGACTGTCTGAACTTTTTGGGTCTCTTGGGGTTTCCAAGGAACTGTGTGCATCTTTTCATTCCCTGACCTGCTGGAGGCAAACACCTACTGGAGTTCCTCAGCCCTTCCTCAGCTTGCTGTAACCGGTGTCCCACACTGATTCCTGTGACAAACCCCTCCTGCATGTCTTTTGTTTTTCAAGCATTCTTCAATATGTTTCACTTTGTTGATGGCATTCCTTTTTGTTTTCCAGTACTTTTTATGAGTTTATCTCTTTTTAAAGGCAGATTTTTTTCTGTTATTTCTAGAAATCTGAATGAGGGGAGACAGATGCATATTTTTAGTTTCTCTGTCTTGAACCAGTCTCTCTCTCATAGGTATTTATTTCCCTATCGTGATTAAAAGTGGATTTTCCTTTTTTTCTCTTTTAGGAGGAAATTATCACTGTTTCAGGAGGAGAGTTGCTTCAAGAACCCTGTGGACAGAGGGACAGCCCACCAGACTACCATCTGTTGTTTGAATAATTTTTTTTTCCTTATCAGTTGGATGCTTTGGGCATCCTGTTTTTGAACTCAGCTTAAGAACTTCTGAACTCAAATCCTATGGCCTTCTGGAAGATCCACAACTATCCAGAGGAAAAAGTAGATTAGTATGTCTCAAGGGATATGACATATGTGGCATAGGGCTGCTGGTCTTATTCCCAGTGATCGGGACAGAAATTGCTAATAGCTCATGCAACTCTTTCATGAAGAGCTTAGCAAGAAACAAAAGCCTGTTCATCATGGCTTTTGTAAACTGAGCTCTTACAGTGTGTGGACCATGTTTTAATAATCCAAAAGAATTCCAGTGCCGAACCCTGAATTTAACATATGGTAGACATTCAGTAAATGTTTGTTGAATGAATGCACTTTTAAAAGTTTTCCAACAAATAAGCAGTGATTTATTTTAAATTATTTCCTACTTGCCACTCTATAAAATCATGATGATAATAGAAGATTGTAAAGGAAGTCTATGGAGAACATAAATGCTGCATCGTTCATAATCGCCATTATTACTCTCATTGATGTTGTCATTGGAATTATTATCTAAGGTGGGCCCCAGTTTGCAGGCCAGCTGGTTGACACTGTTCTTCCTTCCTTATTTAACCTCTTCTTTTGCTACTTTCCTGTATCTTTGAATCATATCTTGTTTCTGGTTTTGCAGTGGTTTTATGTAATCCTGCAGACATCGTCAAAACCTGGGGTGAACTATAAATGCAAGAATGGTTCTTAGACATCTGATAAGGCCTATGCTCTCTGGAATGCGGCCCTATCTATGCAGGTTACTCCAGTTATTAGCTCTGTCCTCATTGTCCTTTTAATTCTCTTGTCAACTGAATCTCAGTATGTTTCTTATATTAACAAGAAGACTCACCCAATACCTCCTCAATGGGTGATGGTATCTGTTGGTCCATACTTTGTTTCCACAGTTATGGATATATACACAGAGATAGTGTATGATGAAGATTATAGTCTTTACAGTCAAGAAGACTTGGGTTCAGATTCTCATCCTACATTGTGTTTGGTAAGAGGAAAAGGATGAATGGACTCTAGGGATGTTAGGGAACAATTTACTTTACTTGATGGCTGTATCAAACATCTCCTGTGCCCCACTTCTTCTCTTGCCTCACCTGTTCCTCAGATCCTTGGTCACTTGTCTCCCACCAGCCACCATCACTATAACCAGCTGTACATGAGCTCTGCTCTTCCTCCCTGTGTTGGTCAGCATTACATGAGCATAAGCCAATGGTACCTTGCCACGTGTTTCATCTCCCATTGCTGCAGAGGAATAAAACGGAAGAGATGGGAAATGAATGCCCCATGTGATAAATCTTGGATGAATGGGAATCACAGGCTGGTAGATCGCTGCTTCTCCCTTCTTCCTGGAGGAACTAGTCTGTGAGACATCTATTTGTATGTTCTTTTAGAAGACAGTCCTGCAAAATGGAGCAACCAGTCATGATGAAACCAAGTGGTGGCTGGATCAGTATGACACCCCCCTGTCCCTGTTTGTTCCTCCTTCTCTGCCTTGCCTCTCCTGCTGCTTTGGGATTGCACTTCTGAATGAAGTAGCAGCTCATAAACTTTTGCCACAGGCTCTGCCTTTTGGGGAATACAGGATAAGAACCTATCATACAGAAGTGTTCAATAATATCAAGTTTGCAACTCAGCTCCATGGCTTCCTCCAGTCTGCCTGTCTCACTAAATGCGTAAAGTGAAATGATGGAAGGAACCTGCTTTTTGAACTCTAACGTGCCTTAAAACCATAACTGATTATCACTAAAATTGCCTTATTTTATGGACTCAGTAGAACCATGCTTTAGTTTTGGCTCTTTGATTTACCAACTATGTGACTTTGTTCAAGTCATTTAACTCCAGTAAACCTCAGTATGACTGAAAAGGGAAATTTCTGTATGGCCGTCACCAGGTTTTTTTGCAGGTCAGTTAAACAATAAAGATGAAAGCTCCGTCCAAATGAAAAAGGTATTTCTAACAACAACCACAATAAAAACAAAAACTTAGTACTTAGCTGTGATGTGTCAGGGGATATGATGTGATGATTTTCAAGGTGTTGGAAGAAACTCCTGTTCCAAGAACTACCAGCAGCTTTGAAAGCAGACCAAGATGGGTTGAGACCCTGAATCCCTGGGCTGTTGTTCTTGTCACCCCTAATTAATATGTGAGAGACAACAGCTGAGTTTTCCATCCCTAACACATTTATTTCATTTTATTTGGGGCCTGCACTTTCTACATGTCTCATATATTTTAGGTTTTACCTTTTTACCTGGCTTTAAAATAAATCCCTTGTAAGTTGTCCTGCAGATGAAATTACTGTCTGGAAAACTGCAGTTTCATCTTGAGAGTTTTATTATGCTAATAAATGTCAGGATTCTCAAATAAAGGAATTGCGTTTTTTTTTCCCTGAGCCCTACAAATATAAAAAACAGTCAGTCAGCTCCAAGACTCAGCAAAGGAAAAGTTTACAATCCATAACTAGAAAGAGAAGTTGTAAAAAAAAAAAAAAACACCATGCAACTTAATGGAAAACAAATTTCAAGGAATGAAAGAGTAACTTGGGGTACAGATCTGGGGAGATCTTTGTGTGGCAGAAGTAATTTTAATTTGAGGGACCATCTACGGGGTGTGAGCTAAGAGGTTATGGAGAGTGTTCCCCTAGGAGGGGAACGTCGGCTCGAAGATCTGAGAGCCTGGGGCGTTTGTCCCCCTTTTGTTCCTTTGATCATTATTCTCAGGACTAAATTGCAATCCTAGATGGATTTCTGTATTATTTGGACTACAATTTCTTCTGTCAAATTAGGTAAACATTGCCTATTTCAGAGAATGGCTGTGAAAATAAGATTTTGTAATAGTAATGACAAATACTGTTTTAAGCCGTGTGTGTGTGTGAGAACTCTCACAGCCATGCTTAAGGGAGACTGCTATCATCTTTATCTTGTGCATGGGGAAACTGAGGCACAGAGGTTCAGAATATTCCCAAGGTCGTTTCTTGGGAAGCACAGGGATTGACCACAGTCTCGTATCAGAGTCTGAGTAGACCTTAAACTGCATAGACAAACACATGATGGTTGTTAAAAATGTAAGTTCTGGGCCGGGAGCGGTGGCTCACGCCTGTAATCCCAGCACTTTGGGAGGCCAACGTGGGTGGATCACGAGGTCAAGAGATCGAGACCATCCTGGTCAACATGGTGAAACCCTGTCTCTACTAAAAATACAAAAAATTAGCTGGGCATGGGGGCACGTGCCGTAATCCCAGCTACTCGGGAGGCTGAGGCAGGAGAATTGCCTGAACCCAGGAGGCGGAGGTTGCGGTGAGCCGAGATCACACCATTGCACTCCAGCCTGGGTAACAAGAGCGAAACTCTGTCCCCCTCAAACAAATGTAAGTTGTTCTTCTGCAGATCTGGTGTTGGGCATGAGCTACTGTATTTCTGACAAGCTCCTGGGTGTTGCTGATGCTGCCAGACTATGGGTTACACTTGGAGAAGCCAGCCTGGAAAGCAGGGCTTGGCAAATTACAGTCGCAGGCCAAATTTGGCCTGCTGCTCGTGTTTCTACAGCCTGAGAGATAAAAATGGTTTTTGACATTTTTAAATGGTTAGAAAAAATGAAAAAGAAGAATAATATTTTATGACCTGTGAAAATTACATTAAATTCAAATTTCAGCTTCCTAAAGTTTTATTGGAATTCAGCCATACTCATTTGTTTACATATTGTCTTTGGCTGCATATGGCCTGTAAGGCTTTAAATATTTACTCTCTGGGCCTTTACAGAAAAAGTTTGCGGATTCCTGCTTTAAATTATGATACATCTGTAAGAAATCAGTTTGCTTTCTTTGTCTGCTTTATTTAAATCTACTCTTTTAGCATCATTGTTTATACTTCAGAGAAATCTAAATGAAAATTAAATTTTCTAGTAGTGTTCCATTTTAATTTTGAATCTCATCTCTAGAAAAAGGAGATCTCTTCCTGGTGAAAGGATTCTAACCAGATGTAAGTGAGTGGTATCACAACTGTGTAGATATTTAACATGGGCATATGATCATTTACCTTCTAGATTTATTATATTTCATACACATAACTGTATTTATATGTTTTGCCTTTCAGTCTCTGAGGTCCTGGAAATCAGGCAATGCCATATTTATCTGAGTATTTTAGCGTTCCTGGAGTAGTCGAGATGAAATTACATCTGTGATGTATTAGAAACAGACAGATTGTGCATATTTTAAGGACCTGCTTTAACCTTTTGGGGACCCTATGATAGAGAAGTCCATGCTGAGAATTCTGGCAGCTTTGGGTTGGAATCCCGAATCTAGTACTACTTTCAGTTAAGAGGAATGAACAAACAAGCAAACAGCTAAATGAGATTGAGAAAGTGAAAAACAGCTCTGCTGAGAGGGGGAACTGAGAATTAAAACAGAAATCACGTCTTGCAACTCGGCTCTGTGACTTGGCGGAACAGTTAAACCGAGCCAAGCCACAGCATGCAGGAGAAAGTGTCTAAATAAACTCTTGTAACCAGAACATGCAGACCCATGTTTTTTAGACAGGACATCAGACAAACTGATCTCACGGTTATTCCACATGACTTTAAAAAAATGTAGTAAAATATACATAACATAAAGTTTACCATTTTAACAATTTTTAAGAATACGGTTTGGTGGCACTGAGTCCATTCATGTTGTTATTCAACCGCCACCATGATCCATCCACAGAACCCTTTTCATCTTGCAGAAATGAAACTCTGTACCCGTTAAACATAACTCCCCATTCTCCCCTCCTCCAAGTCCCCAGAAACCACCATTCTACTTTCTGTCTCTATGAGTTTGACTACTCTAGGTACCTCACATAAGTGGAATCATCAAAGTTTGTCTTCTTGTGTCTGGTTTATTTCACTTAGTATAATGTCTTCAAGGTTCATCCATGTATAGCATGTGTGAGAATTTCCTTTTTAAGGCTGAAAAATATTCCATAGTATGTATACATCACATTTTATTTATCCGTTTGTCAATGGACATTTGGTTTGGTTCTACCTTTTGGCTATTAAGACTAATGCGGCTATGAACATAGGTGTACGTCTCGTGACTTTTGCGTTCTGTAGATAAAATCACTGACTGTTTCAGCAACTCCCTAGTTTCCAGAGTCTGACCAATCCCTGCCAAGAATATTTAACTCCAGCTCCGCAGTCTTAGTAAATATGCTTTCCTAACTTTTACCTTTTCGTGTTCCATGATTCCTCTCGCATACGTGCTCTCTTGCTCCAACAAGCTAATAACCCTAACTTTGGCTGCGTGTGTATTGCTAGTAAGCTTAAGCTGATATAGGCTTTAAGAAGACATTATCTGTGAAGCATGCTGTCCATTACAGACACTCAGTAAGGCTCCATGTCTTCTCTTGGCTGGCCATGCTGAGTAGCAGCTGTGAAAGCCCTCCCAAGGGTGGAGACTTCTATTAATATCTTGATCTCAAGATGAGCTCACGGCCTTGCTGGGTTTATGAGCTCATCCCAGGAGACCGTGTGAAGGGGCATGAGGTGGTAGAGGCAGAGACAGACCCAAAATTGGCTGTGCCAGCTGCTCTTCTGAAGGGAAGTTTCTTCCCCTGGAGGCACCGAGTGTCAGAGGTCCCTCAGTCATCGGGACCCCGTAGAGAGAAGCTGAGGAGGAAGAGGCTGAGGGAGCCCTCATCCTCTGTAGAAGGAGGCTAGCAGAGATTATTCATCTCCTCCTGTTTCCCCACTCCCAGGTAGAAGGAGGCAACAGAATATAGAAGGAAGAGTGATTCCTGGGGGTCCTCAATATAAATCTGAACTTAAATGGCAGAGGAAGAAGAGAAGAGATTTCCAGGAAGAATGAGCAATTGGTGTCAGCAGAGATCTGGAGTCATGAAAGTGTGTGTCTGTGTGCGTATATATGTGTGTGTATGAATGTAGGCCTGAAATGGGCTTTTTCTTTCTTTTTTTGAGATGGAGGGTTGCTCTGTCGCCCAGGCTCTGGAGTGCAGTGTTGTGATGACCTTGGTTCACTGCAACCTCCCCCTCCTGGGTTTAAGCAATTCCCCTGCTTCAGCTTCCTGAGTAGCTGGGATTACAGGCACCTGACACCACACCCAGCTAATTTTTTGTATTTTTAGTAAAGATGGGGTTTCACCATGGTGGCCAGGCTGATCTCAAACTCCTGACCTGAAGTTATCTACCCGCCTTGGCCTCCTAAAGTGCTGGCATTACAGGTATGAGCCACCATGCCCAGCCGGAAATGGGATTTTTTATACACTATACCTCTCCCTTAAGGCAGGATTTAAACATTTGCACAGCCAAATTCTTCATAAGGGAGACATTCTGTCCAGATTCTCAGCCATGAGCCAAAGGTTTTGGATACTTCTGCACCCTATGGGACAATAGCAATTTGTACTAATAACTTGGTTATTGGCCAAAAATGTAGCCTAGACCATCCATAACTTGGTTTGTAATTCATTTGTCTTTCCCCGACTCTTTTAGTCAATATTGTTTGTTGTTAACTACCTTTTATGTCCTTATGCTCACAAGTCTCTGGTTGATTTCTCGCTTATTCTTACATCTTCATGGGTTTTTATATTTGGCTTATTCAGATTGGCTGCAATTATTGCTTTTCATTCTGTCGTTAACAATTCTTTTTTTCTTGGGCAGCTGCTGAGAAATTTGATAAGGTGGGGGAACCCAACCCCTTACGATGGGCCCATGTGTGCTTTTCAGGCTTGTATTTCATTTTTTCTTTTTAAAAATTTAAAAATTTTTTATATTTTAAAAAAGTATGTTTATTTATTTATTTTTTTGAGACAGGGTCTAGTTCTCTCACCCAGGCTCAGTGCAGTGGTGTGATCTCAGCTCATTGCAGCCTCGACCTTCTGGGCTTAAGTGATCCTCCCACCTCAGCCTCCTGAGTAGTTTGGACTACAGGTGTGCACCTCCATGTCCAGCTAATTTTTGTATTTTTTGTAGAGACAGGTTTCACCATATTTCCTAGGCTGGGAGGCTGGGCTCGAACTCCTGAGGGAGCTCAAGCAGTCTGCTTGCCTCGGCTTCTTAAAGTGCTGGGATTACAGGTGTGAACCCCTGAGCCCGACCCGGCTTCATGTTTAACTGGTAGTTGGTTGTTGAACAGAACCACAGAAAGTTCTTTGGGATAATTATGCCTCTTCCTTTATTTCTAGTTTCTCATTTATGAAATGCTGGAAAAACTTATGGCAAAGAAAATAATCAGAACAACCAACATATTATATCAAAATTAAAAAAAACCAGTATTCTAATATATAACTCCATTTATTTTTTTATTTTTTATTTTTTTTGAGAGAAGGAAAGAAAAAAATGAGTAAAGGAGAGGAAGAAAGAGGAAGAGAAAGAGGG